GTTGTAGTATGGCAAGGGAATTGCTGGCTGAGGGACTTACGGCTTAGATAGACGAGAAACGTGTGGGAGGGGTGAGCCGGGGTAAGTCCAGGTAATGATAGTAGAGCGGTAGAGGTGAATGAGGAATGGGATCTGGTCCGGTGTGGTTCTGGAGAGGGAGCGAGAGGTGGAGGAGATCGGGTCGGCACTTGGAGGAGGGTGAACTAGGAAATGAACCAGATAAAAATCCAAAACGGCGTTGGGGAAAACTCTGATGATTATCCAGACCTGAGGTGGGGTAAAATCCAAAAATAGAATTAATCCAAGTCACGAGAGAAAAATACAAGAGAACAAGAGCAGAGATAAGCGAGGGCTAGAAACTACCGGACAGTAGTTAATCATCCGGCATTGAGTCATGTCCACTCTCCTCCTTTTAAACTGGCCCGCTAATCAGCTGACTGGAAACAGCTGTTGCTCCCTCTCCTGAAACTAAAACACTCAGAGATAGTGAGATGATGAGACGACCACTCATCCCGGCTCATGACAGTACCCCCCCTCAGTGGACGCCCCCTGGCATCCTAGCTGAGGCAGCCTCGAACTCCCGGATGAGGGACTGGTCATCAATGAATGAACGCGGCACCCAAGACCGTTCTTCGGGACCGTAGCCCTCCCAGTCGACGAGGTACTGGATTCCTCTGCCCCGACGATGAGAGTCTAGGATCTTGTTGACCGTGTAGACCAGACCTCCCTTATAGAGCCGAGGAGGTGCCAGAGCAGGACAGAGAGTACTGGAGACCACAGGCTTGACCGACACATGAAAAACCGGGTGCACACGCAGGGAGAGGGGAAGGTCCAAACAAACCGTAGTGGGAGAAGGCACGTCCAGAACCTTGAAGGGGCCAATGAAGCAAGGAGATAACTTGTGGGATGAAGCCTTTAAAGGGATGTCCTTTGAAGAAAGCCAGACCCTCTGTCCAGGTGTGTAAACCGGAGCCGGACGCCGCCGGCGGTCTGTCAACTGTTTATTCCTGAGAGCTGTTCAGTCCAGTGCTGCCCTGGTGGAGGCCCAGGCGCCTCTGGCACCACGGAGGAATTGAGGTACGGAGGAAATAGAGGTTTGCTGGGGAAAAAGCGAAGGTTGGTATCCGAGAGACAACTCAAAAGGTGACTGACCTGTGGCGGAGGATATATGGCTATTGTGCATATATTCAACCCAAGGAAGGTGAGTACTCCAGGAGGATGGATGAGATGAGCAGACACAGTGCAGCATGGCACCCAGCTCCTGGTTCATCCACTCACACTGTCCATTGGTCTGCGGGTGATGTCCCGAGGTGAGCGCCACCTTAGCTCCTAGGGCCTCCGAAAAATCCTTCCACACGCTGGAGACAAATTGCGGTCCACGGTCGGACAGGATTTCCTTTGGGATGCCATGGAGATGGAAGGCATGCTTTACCAGGAGCTGCGCTGTGTCTGCGGAGGAGGGAAGAGATTTAAGAGGGATCAGATGACAAGCCTTAGAAAATCGGTCGACAATGGTGAGAATAGTGGTGAAACCGTTTGAACTAGGCAGACCACATACGAAGTCCAAGGCTATGTGAGACCAGGGGCGAAATGGAGTGGGTAGTGGATGGAGAAGACCGGCTGGGAGGCGATGGTCCCCCTTTTGTTGTGAGCATGTATGGCAGCCTGAGATATAGCTCTTGGTGTCATTGAAGATGGAGGGCCACCAGAAGGTCCGTCTTATGAGGGCCACGGTTCGACCTACTCCTGGATGTAAGGAAAATGTGCCTGTGTGTGCCCAGTGTATTACCTTACTCCGCATGGACTGAGGTACGAACAGCTTCCCCGGAGGACCGTGGTTGGGACCAGGGTCCCCCCTTTGGGCCTCCAAAACCTGGTCTCTGATCTCCCACGTAACACTTCCGAGGATACAGTCAGGAGGTAGGATGGTAGCAGGCTCTGCTTCCTGATCAGGAGCGTATTGTCTGGATAGGGCGTCTGGCTTGGTGTTCTTGGAACCGGGGCGATAAGAGATCTGGAAGTTAAATCGTGAGAAAAAAAGAGACCAGCGGTACTGGCGGGGATTTAATTGCTTGGTTTCTTTGAGGTAAACCAGGTTTGTGTGGTCAGTCCAGATGATTAACGGATTCTCCGCCCCCTCCAGCCAGTGCCTCCATTCCACTATTGCCAGCTTTACCGCCAACAACTCACGATCACCCACGTCGTAGTGACTCTCTGCTGGGGTGAGGCGCCACGAGAAGAAGGCGCATGGGTGGAGGCGTTGGTCCTTGGCAGACACTTGAGACAACACAGCACTTACTCCTGTGTCTGAAGCATCTATTTCCAGCGTGAACTGTCGCTGAGGATCCAGACGGTGCAGGATGGGGGCGTTGGAGAACCTCTCCTTCAGAGTTTGGAAGGCAGATTCGGCTTTTGAGGACCAAACAAAAGGCTTATTTACTGAGGTGAGACTGGTAAGTGTAGCTGCTGTCTGACTATAATTTCTTATAAATCTATGATAGAAACTAGCAAAGCCCAAAAACCTCTGAAGTTGTTTTCTGGTCGATGGAGTGGACCATTCCTTTACTGCTTTGACCTTCTCTGGATCTGCCTTCAAACGCCCGCTCTCAATGACGTAACCTAAAAACTTAACTGTGGTGACATGAAACTCGCACTTCTCAGCTTTAACATAAAGTCTGTTTTCAAGGAGACACTGAAGTACAGCTCTCACGTGTTGGGTGTGCTGTTCCATGGTCTTTGAGAAAATCAAAATGTCATTGAGATGAACTGTAACAAACTTGTTAATAAAATCACCCAGAACCGAGTTCACTAGAGATTGAAAAACAGCGGGAGCGTTTGTTAATCCGAATGACATTACCAGGTACTCAAAATGTCCCAATGGAGTCTTGAATGCAGTCTTCCACTCGTCCCCCTCCCTCACCCTCACCAGGTGGTAGGCGTTCCTGAGATCGAGTCGGCTGAAAATGGCTGCGTCCTGGATAGGTTCAAAAGTGGAGGAGAGTAGAGGCAGTGGACACTTATTGCGAATGGTGATCTGGTTCAAACCTCTATAGTCTATGCAGGGTCTCAGTGTTCCTTCCTTCTTAGGCACAAAATAGAACCCAGCACCCAGGGGGGAAGAGGAAGTTCGAATGGTACCTGCGGCAAGACAGTCCTGGATATACTTCTCCATGCTCTCCTTCTCAGGCTTGGAGAGATTATAGAGACGGCTGGATGGCAGTGGGGCCCCAGGTAGCAAGTCGATGGTGCAATCAAAAGGCCTGTGTGGAGGCAGAGAAGATGCGCGATCCTTGCTAAAAACCAGCCTGAGGTCGTGGTAGATCTGAGGGACAGAAGATAGATCAATATCCTCCATAGGAGGCGCAGGGAGACTGTGAGTGAGTGAGGAGACAGATTTTAAACATGTTTGGTTACATTCAGGGTTCCATCCTAAAATCTTATTTTCTCTCCAGTCCAGGATGGGATTGTGGCAAACCAACCACGAATGTCCCAAAACTAGTGGCGACTGAGGTGAGGGAAACACATAAAAGCTCAAAGTCTCTGAGTGATTACCTGACACCAACAGGCGGATGGGTACGGTCTGGTGGGTGATTGTGGACAGACCTCGGTTATCCAGTGAGGAGACAGAGAGAGGTCTAGACAACCTGGTAGTGGGAATCCTCCATTTTGTCACCAGCTGAGGGTCTAAAAGAGACTGCTCACATCCAGAGTCCAGGAGAGCGTCGAGAGATATCTGTCTAGAATCAATTATCAAAATACAGGGGAAAGAACACCGAGAGCTAGCAGAGTCTGAAAACCCACCCACCAGTAGTCCCGGTTTTACTGGTGGGCTCCCCCTTTTGACAGAGCGGGGCAAGTGCTTCGAAAATGTCCAGCCATCCCACAGTACAAACACAGTCCTGACCTGATCCGATGCTCTCTCTCTTCCTGAGAGAGACGAGTTCTCCCCATCTTCATAGGCTCCCCCGCAGAGGGGGAGTCCATTTGTACACGTCCTTTAGCTCCATACACTCACTCATGTTAATGGTTTCTAAGGCTTTGAATGGACTAGCTCCAGCGTATTTGATGGAGTTGTTGCAGCCATATGTCCCTTTTCGAATGCTCTGCTCTGAAAGCCGGTTGCTGCTGGTGGCTCCTAAAGCTCGGCTAAAGACGAGAAGGAATAGGGCATTCTCAATAGCAGGACCAAAACTGTGGAACACACTTACCCTATCTGTAAGGCTCTCTCCATCAGTAAGGCCCACTTTTATGGTTTGGCTTTTAAATCTCGGGGTTAGATGTTGTTGAGCTTTTACATGATTTAAATCTGTTTTTACTTGTTGATTTTAATTGTCTTTGTTGATTTTATCAGTTTTAACTTGTCATTGTGCAGCACTTTTGAAGCATACCTCATTCCTGTCAGGGCCTCTATAAATAAAGATAATGATGACGATGATAAAACAATGCAAAATCAGTAAAAACCATTTTAAACAGTAAAATTTTGTGATCAATAACTTAAAATGACCATCAGTGTCCATCACCACACATAATCAAAAGCCAGGGTGTAACAAGTTTTCAACCTAGAATTAAAAACTACCACCAAAGGAGACGGATATAAAACTGAAAATGCAGTGATTTTTTTCAGCTTTTGTGATTATCATCTTGATCATTTTGGGAAAATTGAAATATTCAAAAGCTATTTGAGTCATGTAGCAAGAATGCTGGTGAAGGTCTTCCATCAACCACGTCAGCTAAGCAGGTTAAAAAGGAGGCAACTGGACTGTGGTGGGTTATTTTTTCAGACATCGCAAAGATCAATTTCATAACATATATTTTAACTTCTTTTTTCCTTTATCAGTATCGAAAGCTGACAAAAGGTTTTCTGTTAGAAGGCAAACGATGCTTTGCATTGTTTGACTCCATAGAATATAAAAAAACACAATTTAAATGTACAAATGCTAGCATAAAATGTTTCTACTTTAGTGACCAATACATTGAAAATGGTTTCCTTATTACACATGCAGACACATAATAACAAGACATCAGCATGACATCATATCTGTTTTCCTGCCCCTCCTTGCTTATCCACAGTGCCAAAGCATCTCTTTTAAATATCTAATAGGCTGTCTCCTAAACCATAAATACAGGTTCAGGTCTGAAATTTTGAAGCATGTACACAAAATATGACTCTGTGCTTTGGTTGGATCAGATGGCATAATGTCCACATGGAAAAGACTAGGGCAGTGTTTTGTACTGATAAAGCTGCAGCTGTTAGTGTCTTACTCCCAGACCGAGGACATGTTGTGCAGCCGAATAGGAGATCCTGAGGTCCCACAGCTGTCTAGGGATGGAGACATTATGCTGGCGGGATTCTTTTATTTTCACGTCAGTTGGAAGAACAAACAGAATACATACACACAGAAACCCTCGCCACTGGAATGCATCAGGTAACATATACAAGAAACCTGATCATTCACCTTTTTCTGTCTTGTGACTTAATGGTGTGCCTTGATTGGTTCCATGAACGATTACATCTGCATCAAAGAAATTAGTTTTTAACTACAACTGTTTATTGTTCTCTGAACAAAGTTTGAATTTCAGAGAGTTCCAGTTTGCCCAGGCTATGCTTTTTGCCATTGAGGAGATCAACAACAGTACAGAGCTGCTGCCTGGTGTTTCTCTGGGATATCATGTTTATGATACTTGTGGGTCTGTTACCAGAAGCATAAAAATTGCACTTGCTTTGATCAATGGTAATGAAAATACATCTTCATTGTCAGATGAGTCATGCATCAGACCTGTCCAAATGCAGGCTATAGTGGGAGAAAGCTCTTCCTCTCCCAGTACAGCAGTAGCTACTGTTATTGGGCCATTACACATCCCACTGGTAGGTAGATTTGATTAAATCAAAACCATACCATAAAGTAAACAGCAACCATCCACTAATATCAAATTCATATGAACAAGTGAGGCAATGGTTTGGTATATTTATTTTTGGTATGTTTTTTAATTACGTAAAATGTTTTGCAGATACAGATTAAGTGTGTTTCTTTCAGATCAGCCACTTTGCCACATGTGCTTGTCTCAGTGATAAATCCAAATTTCCATCCTTTTTAAGAGTGATACCCAGCGACTACTATCAGAGCAGAGCTCTGGCCCATTTGGTTAAACATTTCGGTTGGACTTGGGTTGGAGCCATTAGAACCAATGATGATTATGGCAACAACGGCATGGCAACGTTCACAGAAGCTGCACAGCAGCTCGGCATCTGTCTGGAATATTATGTTGCTTTCTTTCGAACAGACCCAAAGGAAAAACTACAAAAGATTATTGACACTATTAAAGCTTCAACTTCGACAGTGATTGTTGCTTTTCTCTCTCCTCGGGACATGGAAGTGCTTATCTATGAGTTGTCCCTTCAAAGCATTACAGGGATCCAGTGGGTTGGAAGTGAAGCCTGGATCTTTGATTCTGAAATTGCAGCCCTGAATACGAATCACGTCTTGGATGGAGCCATTGGTCTTTCTATTCCCAAAGCTCATATCAATAATTTTAGGGAGTTCATGCTGGATGTGAAAACACTCAATTCCTCAAATAATAATTTGTTTACAGAGTTCTGGGAGGCTTTATTCAGCTGTAAATTTAAACAATCCCAATCAGAAATAATCCAGGAAGAATGCACCGGACAAGAGGATGTGACCGGAGTGGAAAACAGCTTTACTGACATGTCGCTGATGCCAATATTCAATAACATCTATAAAGGAGTGTATGCAGTGGCCCATGCTCTTCATATTGTTCTTCAGTGTAATAAAACATGTAACAACAATGTGAATATAAATCAATTAAAGGTAAATGTTGTTTCTATACTGATGATAAAATTGACATTCAAAAACAATTTTTTAATTATGAATAGAATTTAATAATGTATTTTTATGTTAACACATTTTTTAGATTTTGAAGCACATAAAAATGATTCACTTTAAGACAAAGGAAGGAGAAGAGGTTTACTTTAATGAAAATGGAGATCCACCTGCAAAGTATGAGATTATCAACTGGCAGCCAAGAGAAAATGGCTCTGTGGATTTTGTGACCGTTGGTGTTTATGATGCATCGTTACCTGCAGACAATCAGCTGAAATTCCCTATTAAGTCTTTAGTTTGGACACACAATTCAACTCAGGTTGTTAGCAAATGTTTCACAATGAATTATTTAATTTTTTTATTTTTCAATGAAATAATTGTAACTTCACTGACATTTAAACGAGACCTGTAAAGACAACAGAAACATCTTTTTAATGTTGCCTTTATTCATGTACTGTAGGTCCCCGCGTCAGTTTGCAGTGAGACGTGTCGACCAGGAACACAAAAGGTTCTGCAGAAAGGAAAACCTGTTTGCTGCTATGACTGTATAAGCTGTGCAGAAGGAGAAATAAGCAACATTACAGGTTAGGATGTATTGTAAATTTTAATTATAGTATTATACAATATTGTAGTATGGCTGTAATGTTGGTTGATTTAGTTACATTAAATGTGTTTTTAATGTTTCCAAAGTATCATTTGATTATTCATATCTAACTTATGAAAACAGTATCTGAGAGAAAGTTATTGACTGACTTTAATATTTGGGAAATGTTTGATAATGTCTCACAACACCCGTTTATTTCCCATAAAGTACCTGAGTTGTCATGATGTCTGCAAAAAACTTTGTTGCATTTATACAAACTGAAAATAATTAAACATTTTATTAATTTGCAGATTCTGTCACTTGTATGAAATGTCCTCTTGAGTTCTGGTCAAATGAAAGAAGAGATGCTTGTGTGGTAAAGGAAGCCGAGTATCTGAAATTTGAAGAGATTATGGGAGCCCTGCTGACTGCAGTCTCCTTGTTTGGAACATTTCTGACGGCTGCTGTAGCTTTCATTTTCTTCAGATACAGAAACACTCCTCTAGTCAGAGCAAACAACTCCGAGCTGAGCTTCCTGCTGCTCTTCTCCTTGACTCTGTGTTTCCTCTGCTCTCTGACCTTCATCGGACGTCCATCAGAGTGGTCCTGCATGCTTCGTCACACAGCTTTTGGCATCACCTTTGTCCTCTGCATATCCTGTGTTCTGGGGAAAACCATGGTGGTCTTAATGGCCTTTAAAGCAACACTTCCAGGGAAAAACATCATGAAATGGTTTGGACCTACTCAGCAGAGACTCAGTGTTCTGGGTTTAACTTTTATACAAGTGATCATATGTATCCTCTGGTTGACCATTTCTCCGCCGTTTCCATCAAATAACTTTAAGGAGTTCAAAGATAAAATCATCTTGGAGTGTTCTCTGGGCTCAGCTGTGGGCTTCTGGTCTGTACTCGGGTATATTGGTTTCCTGGCCGTGTTGTGTTTTATTTTTGCTTTTCTAGCACGAAAACTGCCTGATAATTTCAACGAAGCTAAATTTATCACCTTCAGCATGTTGATATTCTGTGCTGTATGGATCACCTTTATACCAGCTTATGTCAGCTCTCCTGGAAAGTTCAGCGTTGCTGTAGAAATCTTTGCAATTCTGGCGTCAAGCTTTGGACTGTTGATTTGTATCTTCATTCCAAAATGTTACATCATGTTGGTTAATCCAGAAAAAAACACCAAGAAAAATGTGATGGGGAAATGATCACACACATTATTTTAACGACAGAAAGCAGTAGAGTGGCAGGGTCATTTAAATGTAGACTTTCTGTTTGTCTATCTATGTATCTAATACTCATATATATATATATATATATATATATATATATATATATATATATATATATATATATATTATATATTTATATATGATGTAGATAGATAGAAATCTAGGTGTTGTTACCGACTCCGACCTGAGCTTTTCTGGACACATTAAGGCTATAAATGAATCAGTATTTATCACTTTCAAGAAATATCAAGAGTCAGAGGTCTCATGTCCAGACCAGACTCCGAGAAACTTGTTCGTGCTTTTAATTCTAGCTGGCTGGACTATTGTAACTGGTCTTCCCCAAAAAGCTGTGAAGCAACTGCAGCTTGTTCAGAATGCCACCGCTAGAGTCTTAACAAGAAGTAAGAGAACGGAGAACATCACACCTGTTCTTAGACCTCTACACTGGTTACCAATAAACTACAGAATAGATTTCAAAGTGCTTCTACTAGTTTATAAATCACTCAGTGGTATGGAACCAAAATACATATCCGTTGTCCTTCCTGTATATACATCCAAGAGGGCTCTGAGATCCCTTGGCAGCCATCAGCTGGTAGAACCACAGATCACAACAAAACATGGTGGAGATGTTTATAGTTACTATGCTGCTCACACATGGAATCTGCTTCCCCATGACCTCAGATGTGCCCCAACCCTAGTGTTGTTTAAATCAAAACTTAAAACCATAATGTACTCATCAGCATTTTAAAAGCAATGTTTCATGTGTTACAGTATCTCCACTGCAACCTGCGCTGTAACTTTGTCTTTTCCTTTAGCTCTAAACTATAATTCTATCTATGTGTATTTTAATTTCTGTTGCTATGTTGTCTTCATAACGTAAGCACATGAATTGCGTCTGCATTTGAAGTGTGCTCTATAAATAAAGCTGCCTTGCCTATATATATATGTGTATATATATATATATATATATATATATATATATATATATATATATATATATATATATATATATTCCTCTTTATGTTATCGCAGTGGGTGTGATATTTTACTAAGTTCATTTGAGATAAAATATACCACCTTTTTTGGCATTTATGAAAATGGTTTCACCATAAACCTCAGCAGTGAAACAGCGTGTGTGTGTGTGTGTGTGTGTGTGTGTGTGTGTGTGTGTGTGTGTGTGTGTGTGTTGGGGGGGCTTTGTTTTAAAATAGAGCCTATAACCCCAATAAGAAATGCTGTCCTCATGCTTCACTCCCGGACTAGAGTCCCCACATGACCTGTGAGACCCATATCTGTGTATGTGTGTGTGTGTGTGTGTGTGTGTGTGCACTTGTCTTTATATGCTTAAGTGGACAAATATTAACGTTTAACCTGTGCTGTGTGGACATTTCCACATTGTGGGGAAGCTGGTTCACACAATGACATACGACTCTTGAACATGGTTTTAGAGAAATGGTTTGAAATAACTTTTGGTTTAGATTAGGGTTTTGAGTAGAACAACACTGGTTAGGGTTATGGTTAGGCGTAGTGGAGTCCCAAAAATGAATGCAAGTCACTCATTGACATATTGGACAATGGGTTTCCATAGACTCCAATAATAAGTTTTGGGGCTAAAATGGGAGGTGGCCACCACCGCCATTTTGACCGTGTCACAGGTTCCGTCAAGCCCAGACAATTCCACAAAAGGAAAGAGAGGTGGAGCTGAGGGTGGGGCCATAAGGCTGGGATCAACTGACGACACCTGGTCGAACTAGCTACAAGCTAACCTGAAGCTAACCCAAAGCAGGTGGGAGCTAAGCTAACAGAGGTAGCAACCTAGCTACAACCGGAGTTAACTGTGCACAACACCAGAGCTTCTGAGTCAGAGATACGCCAGGCTGACCGCTGGATAAAACCGGGTGGAACACAGAGGTCTCCCGAAAGCTGCTGAAAGCCGGCAGCCCGGGCAGCAGTCAGGAGCCGCGATCAGACAGAGATGTGCCGAGCTGCAGGGAGGGGAGAACCACAAGCCGGCAGCCTGCGCAGCAGCCCGCACAGCAGACAGAAGCCGCGATCAGACAGAGACGCGCCGAGCTGCAGAGAGGGGAGAAACGGGTGGAAAACAGAGGTCTCCCGAGAGCTCCACAAGCCGATAGTCGGAACACAGCTCCACCAACATGTTATATTTCAACCAATTTTCTAAAGTGCAGCTTTATGTTAAATGCACTGGGTTTTACCCATTACATTTTTTGTTTAACCGTGTCCTGTCTGGCTGTGAAGCAAACAGAACTGATGTCTGAATGCTGGTAACAAGCCTTACAGATTTTACCCTCAGGTGGAGCATCAAACCGTCTGCTTTTAATGTCACACCTGATACTTAAAAACTTTATTGTTATTGTTTTTGAATGCTTTGTAATTGCGACCAGACACGGAGACAGAGATGAAAGAGAAAGGAAAAGACAAAAGGTGGGAAGAGAGGGGGGAAGGGGGTGGGGTCCACAAAAATAAACAATAATGAACAAGAGGCGGCTTCTAGACCTGCAGAAAGAGAAAGAGCAGAAAAAAATGGGACACACAACTATACATCAGGAGCAAGCTATCACTGTGTCAACCTGATGATGAAATATAAAATCAACATTGTTTAACTGAACAATCACACGATAATAAATCATAGTGCATTTAGTGGCAACGACAGCCTTAAGCCAAGTGTTGAATGTGCCCAAGCCCATACTTTTGAGAGCACCATGTGAGCACCTGTGTGTGTACACACACTTGTTTATGTAAGGTTTCTCTATAGGAGCGTCCAATAGAGAATGTGAGGGACCACAGATCTGCCCCCCAAAGATGTGTAGAAGACGGGGGGAGCTCCAAGTCCCAGAGACCCAGGCGCTGCCCCAGAACACAGGAACCCCAAGGAGACTGCAACCAGAAAGGCCCCCGCCCCCCTCGAGAGGTACAGAGGATCGCCCCGAGGGGCCACAACCAGCAGCCGGCAGAGTCCCAGGAGATATCAGGGGCAAGCCCACAGGCCCGCCCGCAGCCTCCCACCCCCTAGCCGGCCGAGCCTGCGGCCCAGGAACCAGGGGCGACCACCCCTGCCGGGGACCCAGCAGAGCCCAGGGACCCAGACCCCACCAGGCAGCCACCGGGATTGATCAAGCAGACGCCAAAAATCTTAAACCCCCTGACCCAGGAGCGACGAACACTCAGGCAGACCAAGGCACCACACCCCACACCAGGTGTGGAAGGGGGAGGGGAGACGAAGATCTATATCATCAAAAGAAGTCCCAGGAGAGGGGAGGTGTCAAAGGCCCCACCTGACATATACAGTCTACACAAACACAGTCACACACTCCCTCCCTCATGCTCACACATGCACATACAGCCAAAGACTTACAAAAATGCATGCCGGACACCCACTCATGCTCCCCATACACACCCTATTCACTCTGGTCCCGGTGCTGCTGCACATGTGACCCTTTCTGCTGGGGTGCTGATGAGCCGGCTCCCCTGCCCAACGCTGAGCATAGCAACCCACCACCCCAGACCCCAACCAGACGGCCAGGTCTCCCTCCTAGCCTCCAGCCCCAGGAAACCAAGCAACAACAGAGGTGTGCTAAGACCCCTAGTCTCCCTCTGACTGTTCCATTATAGTGTTGTGTGTTGATGAGGTGTAATCCTTGGCTGTGGTGAGCGGGCAATGTGGGCATTGTCTGGTCTATGCCAGCTGATGCCAACACACCACCCCACTTAAACCCACAGTCCTCGGTGTCTAAGTGCAGTTTAAAATTGGAAGTGGGCACCGGCACTCGGGAGGAGGCTGATAAATCCCCCTGCCAAGTGCCGTTGAATGTGCTCACTCCCAAGGCCCTAAGTGTGTGTTTGTGTGGAATGTCATCGGTGGAAGTGTTTAAGGTACAAATAAAATTGGGGGGCAGGTTGCTACAGGAATGCGGAAATGGGGTCCATACCTGCACTCCCTGACTTGTCCACCCCCCAAGGTCATATGTGTATGTCTGTGTGACGATGTGAGGGAGCAGGAGGAGAGAAATATGCGGGGATGGGGAGGACTGGCTGGTTGGGCTTAGCCCTCCAGGGAGCCAGCTCCCCCACTGGCCCCAATAGGCACCTCCGTTGTCAAATTGCCACCCAGGGCATAGAGACCCCAGCCCATCTTGCCAGGGCCCAAAGCAGCAGCATTACAGAGCCTCACGGAGTCCGGCACCAACCCAGCCCCACCCCAGCAGAACATCTATGCCCATCCCTGCATTTGCAAAACTTCCAGAATATATAAGACATAGGACATCCAGATAAGGTTGGGTCCTCCCCCTCCTGGACCTCCCCCTCCCCTGTGATGGAACAGCAGAGGAGCCAAGGTCTACCCGAGGCCCTTGAACCCAGGCCAGGCACTGCTGCATGTTCCTGCCTCCTTCCTGCCAACATACATGTCAGGACCCGACCCCCAAGGCCCCGCCCAGATCCCCACACGGGGCTGGCCACCCCCACACCCCGAGCCCCCACCCAGACCCACCCAGGGGCAATGCAGCTGCCAGGCAGTGACCTATGGCCGCCGCCAAGACCTCCAAGGGGCCCCACTCACAACCGCCAGTAGTCCACCCCCCGAGGCAACCCAAGCACCTCCAGAGGGGGGCAACGGCCCCCCAGTCCCAGACACCCCCCAGTGAACCCACCTCCAGGGAACATCTGGATACTCCAAACTCAGACCCCCCACCCCCCCACCCACATCATCCCGCAGGACAACATCAACGGTCCCCCATCATCGCTATGTGATGGAACCGATCAAAGGAGCACAGAGAGATTGATTTGAAGTGGAAGCAGAGGCTAAATCAAGTGCAATATGATCTAACAAAAGATTTCTATACTGGTTAATGCAGAGAGTTTCTCTATTTTTCCAATTCAAGAGGATAGTTTTCTTAGCGATGCATATGGCAGTCAGAACCACGTGAACCAAAAATGTTTCAATCGGGACATCGTCC